GAAAGCAGTGTCAGAGGTGGAGAGTGTTTTGGCAGGATGCCAAATACTTTGTGGCCCTAGAAAGTCTCTTCCTTTCACCCTTGGCCCTGTTTTCCCCTCTTTATTCGGTGAGTGTCCTGTTGTTATCTATCTAACAATTTCAGCTTTTGATAAAGCGGCCCAAACCTTAAGGAAACCTGCTGCTCTTTAAGATGCAGAAGATCCTTTAGTACCTGCTTGTAGCTGCCTGGATGATTCTCCCTGACAGACTGGTGAAGGAGGAGGAGGAGGAGGAGGAGGAGAAGGAGCTTGTATCATGAGAGAGGGAAAGCCAAGCTGCTCTCTTCAACATGCAGTCCACCTCCCTCCTCCTACCTAGCAACTTGCTGCAGGGTTGACCATCTTCACCACCAGCTTTTCTAAAGGGCTACTGTGTTAGTTGGCTATAACAGAGGTGGCTAGGAGTGCCCTGAGGTCTTTGTTTTCCACCTGCCCACAAATCTTGCACTGTCCTAAACCAGGCAAGCAGTGTCTTTAACCTCCTGGTGCAAAGTCTGAGCCTGGGAACCTGCCCCCCCCCCTTTGCTACCCATGGAAAAGGAAATGTGTTCAGCCCAGGGCTCCAACTGCTGCTGCCCTGTCTTGGGCTGTGGGTCTGGCTGATCAGCAAGTCTTCCTCCCCATAACACATACAGAGAGGAGGCTAAGATGGGGATTGTGTGGCCTCTCTGCTAGGGCCTTAGATATCTATCTGTACATGGCACTTGCTGCTCCTACCCTTCACTCCAAAAAGGGTGGGTACCACCTTGGGCTGCAAACATCCCTGGCCCGGATGCAAATTTACAAGCCCCAAACAGCTTCCCTTCACCTTTGCTGTTGACTGTTGAATGAGAACATCCCTTCTTTACAGTCACAAGGCAAACCTACTTTCAACGGCCAAAAGCCTGGTACTTGAGTGAGGCAGTAGGGTGGGCAAGTTTAGCCCTGGCCTAGAAGCCATGGGAGCAGGGGGGCTGCTGTAAAGGAAGGTAGGAGCTCCAGGTCCAGCTTCCAACGCCCAGTAGCATTTCCATGGCTGCTGCCAGCTAAGTGGGGACCGGGCCATGAGCCGTCTCCTGCTCCAAGCTGGTGCTGCACTGACCGCTACCCATAGCTTGGGTGTAGAGGCAATCCTCTAATCCCTTTTGGGGTCCTGGAGGGAATGGTGTTATAAAAAAACTTGCTCCAAACTTTGCTCCTTGTTTTGATTGAAAGTCTCCCCAGATTTGCAGTCTCTTCAAAGTTGCTCATAATCCCCACTTGGGGTCCATGATTTTATTTAATAGTTGTTGTATGGCTTGTAATAAGCTATAAACTACAATAGTTATCTTCCCACCTCACAATAAGCTGTGGGGAGAAAGGGAGATCAGACTGGTATCAGCAGCATTACAGTCCAACTCCTGCTCTTTTTCTACATGTGTTATTGTCACATGCACACCAAAAGGGGTGAAGCTTGCATTGCAATGCCACTTTTGTCAGAATGATGAAAGTCACTGTGAATTACATACCCTTTCTGATGGTGACCATGGTGTCTCCCAGTTCTGCCAGGTCATGTGGGAATAAAGTTCTTGGTGCCACACTTTTTTTTAACCTATTGGGGCAGATGCCAACATTTCTTGCATAATCCTCTTTCCCATTTTTTTGCAATATTAAAACTTGTAATTGCTATCAGCCCATTGTTAAGGCTACCTGATTACATGTAATTTTTATTAATTGAAGTTGCTTACAACTGCCATTATTTATCTGCCTCCAAGTGGCTTACGGGAAGTTTTGTTTATTTTGTTCAGAAAGCCAACTGTGTACTTTTGGCTTCCTAGAAATCATCCTCATCTACCCAAATCTGCAGAGTTCAAGAGGTAGAAAAATCTTAGGTTTCCTGGCTACTTAGAAATGGCCCTCATAGATGGTTGCTTCATCTTGGTTAACTGTTTTTGCCATCCTGCAGTGATAGCCAAGACCGTCATTCCCCCACTTCTCTTACCACTTAGCCAAGCAGTGCTTGTGTTTTTAACATGAAACTATCCAAAACATTATAATGCAGTACTTAAGGAAAGGTTGGTACTGCATTTCTGCTTACTGTGGAGTTGTCAAAAAATAAATAAATAAAATATAAAATAAAACACATAAAGCATAAAATAAAACATAAAATAAACAAAAGTTTATCTAATATAAATATAAGATAAATAAAAAATAAAATAAAATATAAAACAAAATAAAGGTGTTTAAAGCTGTCACAAAAGAATTCCACACTTTGTCTCTTCAACCAGGTCTGGATAGTCCTTTCCACCTCTCCATTTGAATCAAACGAATGCTCCCAAAGTTATTCCTTCAGTTTTGGGAAAATATAGAAGTCACATGGCGCCAAGCCTGGACTGTATGGTAGATGAGATAAGACAGTGAGATCCAACTTCACAATTGCCTCTTGGGTGGCAATTCTTGTTTCAGAGTGGAAGAGGACTGTCAGGATGTGATTGAAAAGATAAAAGGGAGAAGTTCTTCTGTGATGGCTTTAAGAAGCTTGTCCATTTTAGGAGAAGTGTGTAGCAAGTGGTGGTGATTATGTAGAGAAGTAAATACAGGTAGCAAAAGAGCTCATTTCAAGGATGATTTTCCTGTTCTTTATTAAAATATCCCTAAACTAAAATCATGAAGGTGGAGGCATTACTTTTCATTCAATCCTTGCATGATTCTGTTTCAAGAAAATCCCAATGTGTCATGAATGCACAGCAAATCATTTTTTCCTGAGAGCATCATTCGTATGAATATGTTGTTTATTGGAATTGCAGTTGGGGTAGTGTGATGGTATGTGGGAATGACCTTGGGAGACAGGAGGAAGTTCCATAGTATCTCCCAAGGTCATTCCCACATACCATCACAGATAGGGAATTATATTTCAGGCAGGCCTAGAATGGCCTACCTCATCAAAAAGGAGATCTTAGCTCTACAATCTCCAGCATCATCAACTGATGAGCAGTTACAGAGAATTATATCAAATATAAATTCATTCCAGAGGAATGTAACAAAACAAAAAAGGGGGAGGGAGAAAATGAGATTATAAAAGCACCTACACTGTAGTAGGCAGAAGAGAATTCCTAACAGTGCATTTTAACTGCTGTATAGCATGAAGAAATTCAACAAGTAAATCTTTTGAGAAATGGGTGGGGTGGGTGGATTTTGCTTTGATTAAATGCAGATTTGATGGGAGAGAATAAACTCCTTCAGAAAGATTGAATAAGTGGTCTGAATAACTTAACTGCAGTTAGAAAGACCAAAATAGTGAAGCTTCTCATATATCATTATCTAGGATAATCCAGGAACGGGTTGGAGAAAACAGCTCTCTCTGCTCTTTTAAAAAATAGAATTACTCTCAGGTACTTCTCTCCTTAATTTAAGGTTATTTTTTTTAAAGGATAAAGTTGAACATGAAGAAAACTTACTCTAGCACATTTGTTTGCTAGTGTGTAACTTTTCACTTGCTGTTCAAAAGCAATAGTTCAGGTTGCAGTTTCTTATATATCTATGTATATGGATGAGTTATATTCTTGTAAAAGGACAAAATAATTTGATTTGGATTTAGTGGCATATATTTAAAGCCCCACCCACAAATAGGAAAATTGTTAAAGCATTATGAGCTATGCATTCATCAAATTTACTAATCTGATACGTGTGATGCAAGGAAGGCTCACAGGATAGGCAATGAACTTTTCAGGGGTATCTGTGACCCGGACATTATGCTTCATTGTAGGAGTGGATAGTGTGTGGCCTTTTGGATGTTATTGGACTGCAACTCCTATCAATTTTTGTAACTCACCTTGCCAGCTAGGATGATGGAAGTTGGAGTTCAACATCTGGGGAGTCATATTGCTCATCCTTATCATGACTTGCTTGGCATTAACCTGAGTGTTCACAGCTGCTGCCTCCCCCTGAAACTACTGATCCACGGTTGTTTAGAGTTAAGTTTCATCCAAATGCAGGACACTGACTACATCAGACATTCCAGTTATGGGTGGCATAGCCTGTATTGAGGCAAGCTTAATTCTAAACAAACCATGAACAGATGACTTGCCTGGAGTGGGGGAAAACCAGTTGTCATGAGTAAGTGCATCTGCACTAAGCCTTATGATGTAGGATGGCATATAAATTAGTTGTATGTACATTCAGCTCCCACAAGGGAGACAGTGTCAAGTAAACGTCAATACATAATAGCCACATTCTAAGAGAAAAATCTCATACACAACTCCCATTGAAATAAATTAAGAGTTGCTTGCACTAGTTGATAGTTGTGATAATGTCTATTTCCCATTCAGTCATCCCAGTAGGGCCTCCATAGAAAAGATTCCTTTAATTAAATTGTATTTTATGTGACAGGTCAAGTGGTTTTTGTCCCTAGAGGATAAGAAGTTTGCTTGTACTGAGTCAAGAGACCATTGGTCCATCTAACTCAGTATTGTTGGCATATGGTAGTGGCTTTCCAGGGTTTCAGTCAGAATTCTCTTCCAGTTGAAGTCAGAAATGCTATAGATTGAATTGAGACTTTTCTGCACACATAGCATGATCTGCACCATTGAACTATGGGCATAAATCAAACTATCTATTTCCCATCCCCAGATGGAGACCAGAATGCAAGATCCTGATTTTATAATAATATATATAATCTTCTCTTTAACAGGAGCATATTAACATCCGCAGACATTGTCAGAATATTTATCATTAGAATAACAATAATAATTAATAATAACAATAATAATAATAAAAAATGGTAGGAGAGGAAGAGTGAGGCAAGTCTATAGTACACAGTCCTGTGAGGGCAGCATAGCCTTTTGGAGACTCCACTGCCATGTCGTTCAAGTGCCCCCTTCCATATTTACACACTTGCCTGGCGTCCACACCCCCAGCTAAGCTGGAGGGAAAACAGTGCATTGAACACAAAATTAAACCCATCAAACCCTCACCTCCCACCCACCCCCTCCCCAAACCTGCCTTTTTGACTTGTTTGTTCCTTTTCCATAAAACTTCCCATCAGAAATACATTATTTACACATAAAATAAATAGAGCGGTAACCTGATTTGTGTTTGGCCTGCGGCAAACAGTCAGAGGTACTAGGGAAAGTATGGCTTGGATTCAACTCTGTACAGAACCGTGTGGGGAACCGGGATCAGCCTGCAACCCCGGCATGGCAAAGCCGGGCACCTTGCATATTTCAGGGCCTTGCATCCAACTGCCAGGAAGTAGTATAAGGAGACTGGCCCCTTCCACTGTCCCTTGGCCCTTCTGCCCTCCCCAATAGCCATTTTCTGGCCCTAGAGCAGTGGTCGTGTCCCACAGTTTCAGCACAGGACAGGCACACCATCTGCAGTTACAAGCCGGCCTGTAGTGGGGTCATAACTTCCTGCCAGGTAGTAAAGATCTTGCCGATCCTGGTATTTCTTGCTGCGGGTCAGCTGCTCATAGTGTTCACGTTCAACCACCTGGCACTTGTGAGAGATGGTCTGGACATCATTCTCATCCTCATGGCATGACTGGTACAGCGCATTCTGCAGAAAGATCAGAAAAGGTATGAAGAACAAAAGTGATGACCTGGCTCCACTATTAATCCTTTGCAAAGACTGGTGTCAGCCAGCAATTGCCCAGCATGGTGGAAATTTGCCACATTCCACACACGAATGGAATTACAGACTTGTTGGATCAGGTATATTAAGTCCACCACTTTATTCTCATAGTGGTCAACCAGGTACCTACTGGAATTCAACTATAGAGCATAAAAGCAAAACTGGTCTCAGGCTCTTGTTCCCCCAAAACTGGTCCTCAGAAGCAAGCTGCCTCCATACTGCTGAACTAGTATGGCTGACAGACACCGACAGTCTCCATTAATTGGTTTATCACCTTTCAAGCAAGCCATATTAGTGTCTGTCACAATATCTTATAGCAGTAATTTTTATCATTTGCCTATGCACTCTGTCAGGAATAAGAGACAGATACTGCAGGACTCTCACCAGAGTTTCCTCATTTTGAGCTGTATTGGGGGGGGGGGGATGGCGGCTGAACCTGCAGCTATTTTTATTTTGTGGGATAATCTTGGGTTTTAGTATTATGATAGAGGAAAACATCTCCTTCTCCACTGTCTTCACATCAAGCACAATCATATTCTTACCTCATTTCCTCCTCTCATTTATTTTCTCTTATAAATTCCAAACACTTAAAATTTCCCTTATAGGGAATTTGCAGAGTGGTATGCAAATGGTTCTCATCTACAAATCTTTCCTTGGTTGTGACCCAGTTGGAAGCATTGACCAAGTAAACCAGAAAACCAATTAAAATTGATGTGCATGTGTGGCGTTGGGGGAGTTCACCCAATCTTGTCAGAGGATGCTGATGTCTTGTTAGTCTTGGCTTTTCCCTTGTAAAATTGTACACGTTGCAGTAGGTGAAGCAAAGGTAATGTGAGGAACGAAGGGAAAGGCAATAGAACTCAAAGCACTAGTTCTATATGCTTCGTTCCAACTGAATTCAAAGGGACTTACTCTCAGATGTACACAACTATAGGCTGAGAACAGTAAACTCGGACGCTGCTACTAAGGAAGAGATAATAGGTTTGTTCCCCCCAAGATATGTCCTCCATTGCTCCTTTCTGCACTCTTGTAACCCAGGCAGGGTTAGGCTCACAGGAACAACCTCCCTTTTACAAGTACCACAAAATCAACCAAGCAAACCCCAGAGTAAATGAGTAGAAACAAAGAGAATCCGTGGCCAAGGCAAATTACCAATTCCACTCCCTAGGCATATCTAGGGATGATTTACTAATGAAAGCAGCGGTGTCCGTTTGAATTGCTATAGATCAGAGATACTGGCCGCATCATTTAAGAGGAAGATTCTATAGAAGACCCTGCTGTGGTCATTAAGGGAAAGCCTTGTTAATTACTGCAAATCATCCAGTGATCTATCTGTAGGTCCTGATTTCTGTTCTGCTCCAGCTCATTATGCCTTTTGATCCAGCACAAGAGGAGACCCCTGCTTGCCTCCCCCTCCACTCCATTTCCTGGTTTCTCCCCTCACCTTGCCGTCGCTATGTCGCTTGCCCAGCTTTGTCTCCTCAGGATGGTAGAACCATTTTACTTTGACAACCATGTTGCTGCCCCAAGACTCCCACATGCTTTCAATGCGGCCAATGTAGGGCAGGTGGGGTCGGCCAGCTGACAGGAAAACAGCACAGTCGCCAATGCGCAGAGTCTCCTTGCCCCGTACAATTGCTTTGTAGAACAACTTCCGTGCTTTCCCCTTCATGCCACGACGCTGTAGGAAAGGGACAGAGCATGCAAAAGCAGAATAAGCGGCAGCCCGCGTGACACCCAGGGTGCCCCTGCCTCTTGGCTGTAAGGCCCTTGGAAGATCCTCGAGGGAGTCTGTGGGTTGCCATGGAAACAAAGCTCTCCAAGGGGGAGCCTCCAGATAGCAACTGAGCTTAACTAAAGCAAAACCAGGCTCTGCTACCGAGATCCCAACGCTTTTGCTTGAGGAGGCCCGAGAGAGGATAACCAATGAAACACAAAGGGGGTTGCCCAGTGCCTCGTACATCCTTTATGAGGTACTGTTGTCCTCAGGGGATTTACTGACATGGAGTGCAGCCCAGGACTAAGACCCACAGAACGTGTCTGGCGCCTCAAAGGAAATGGCCATGCCCTGACTGTCCGAAACAGCAAGAAGGGGAGCCCACTGCATCTGCCACAGCCAGGTACAGCTGCAACAAACGGCCCCTGCTCTGGAGAAAAACGATTCAGAAGAGGCTGTTAGTTGGGAAAACTCTTCCATCCTGCACTTGCAGCACGTTTACAGAATATGGCCAATGTTGGAAAATTCCTGTTTAAAACAGGGAAGGCTGCTGAATATCAGCTACTAAGCCATAGACCTTGTTTGAACAATCACAGCTTGGTTAAATAAGTCAAAATATGAACAACCCTTCCTCTCCTGCACACAGCTTTATTCCTTTTTTTAATGCAAATGAGTGAATAAACAAGCCTGGAAGTGCTAGCTAACTATGATTTCCTTTTTTAAGGCTTCAAGACATGGTCTGAAGATGTTTTCCCAACGCCATGAAGGTTTCCATAATAGGAAATGATAGCTAAAGGAAGATTCCTTGGTTTGTTTTCTGTTCAAAAGAGGCGCAAAACAACTACATGCAAGAACACAAGGCTCATTTGTATCGTGGGTGCTGAGCAATTCTGAGGAAATGTGCAGCTGCTTTAAATGCATGCACATACGAGCACTCCAGCGTGCTCTCAAGTGCCTTCCTGCATATGAGTCCAACACACTGCACAGCCCCAATGTTTATAGAAGAAGCAAATCTGCTTGTTTTCAGTGGGACATCCTTCTGAACAAGGATGCTGAAGACTGGAGTATTAGCATTTCAATTAGCCTTAAAACAATGTGAAAACAGGAATTCACAGTTCTTTTGTCAACAACTAGAGAAAGGGAAATCGGTCTTTCCTTTCTGATCAGCAACAGGAAGAGAGTCTGAAGCTGGGAGGAAGCTTCCCAAGTTTAGCCTCCCCTCCTGTCAAAAGTCACAGAATGGCTGGGATCAATAACCAAATGCATGAATCACTTCCTTCCAGCATTTCCTTCCAGCTCTGTCCCAAAAGTTCAGGCCAAAAAGCTTCCAAACCACCTTCAACAGTATCATCTTCACTAGCAGACAAAGCAAATTCAAACAATTTCCCCTGGCTTGCATTATGTAGTCCAGACCCATCACGTGGAATCCTGACATTTCCCATACCTGAGTGGGGTTCCCAGACCATTTCCAAAGCTGGCGTGCTGGCAGAAAAGCAGAGATCTTTGGCCGGTTTTCCACCGAGGGCAGCCGCTGCCGGCGGGAGAACTCTTTGGCTTTAGAGAAGCTCAGAGTTTCTTTGCGCCTGAGCTTGCTCTTGGCCCCAGTGCCAAAACACCTCTGCAAGGTGCTGCTCTTTGAACGCAGGGCTTCAGACTGAGCCAGCAAGGCAGGAACTGGGTGTGTAAGACAGGTCTGCACAAGCAGTGTGGAGTCCTCATCATCGGAGCTATAGGAGGAGTCCTCGTTGTCGGAGGAGCAGAGGCTTGAAGTGGAGCCTGAGCCAGAGCTAGAGGAGGTGGACGATCCAGAAGATGATGATGAGACGGAAAGCCGTGTCAGAAAGCGGGACGGGACGCTGCCTCCCAGATCATCCACCTCATCTTCATCCATGTCTGAATAAGAGCTGTGACAGTCACTGTCACAGTGCAGCCCATACTCAGTTTGACCAGTGTATTTGCGTAATGCCAAACCCATAGGCAGTGTGCTCTTCTTCTCTTTGATCCCCAAGGCTGGGTGAACATAGCCATGGCCAGGCAGTGACCCAAAGTCCTTGTCACTCATCAGTAAGGCCTTGCAGTTTTTGTTTTTGGGTGACGTCACACCCTCATGATCCAGCTTGACCAGATATTCACCACCAACTTTCCTACGCCCACCCTTACCCAACTCAGTGTCCAACCGTTCAACTTTCTTGGCACGCAAAAGCTTCTGAGCACAGGGCAGAACCAGGCCAGCATTTCCAAAAGCAGAGTAAGAGTTGGCAATGCGGCTAAAAGAGTCTGAGCCAAAGCCATTTCCGAATATGGGAGCAGCAACACTATGCACAGGGAAGAGCACCTCTTTGGCCCGCAGCTTTTTGCTGCCACCATTGAGCTGGAAGAGGTTTTGCCGCAGGGCTGTGCCCTTGCTGGATGTCTTGCGCTTGTTCTGGGTCACAGCTGTCCAACTTAGCAGGGGGCTGCTACGACGGCTCAGGAAGTGATCTCCAGGCTGGGCTTTTGAACTTGAATGCAGCATATCAGATTTACCTGCAGGGAAAGGACAGGGTTAGAAAAGTACTGGTTAGGGCTGTCACCTGGGCTATGGAACTTGTTCAAATCTGCATATGCCCTTCCCTAAACAGCTTCTTTCATTTCTTATGGTTTGGAATTGGCAAAACAGATTGCAGAAGGGGAAGCCCAGATGTTCTTAGGCCTGATCCTAACCCTTTCCTTTTTTCCCAGGTCAAGCCCTTGATTTCTCTGACCCTTCAAATTCCATTTTGAAACTAAAGATGTTACATCTCTGGAGCAATTATGATATAGATGACAGATGATAGGTAGGTAGGTAGGTAGGTAGGTAGTAACTACTTAAACCAAGAATTCTACATTTTACTACAGATCATTCTAACTGTGTAGGATGTTTTAGTGGCCAATAGAGGATGTACTGCTTTCACTTTAAATGGATTTCATTTTCCCTTAATGATATGAGCAATTAGCCAAGTCTGATTGGTGGATCAGTGTTTTATCAAATCCAATACATGATCCCTGAATCCAGGCTGGAATCAGCTGAAGATGTATGAAAAAGAAATAAAATCATTTATTGAAGTAGTCATTGTGAGAGGGCAAGGAAATGGTTTTGAACAGTTATGAAAAGAGGTTGATTCAAGGCAATTGTAATTTGAGAAACAGTGAAATGCTGGTGAAGAGTTCACAGGGACTTGCTTAAATATTTTCTTCCTTGCTGCAATTGATTATTTTCCCTTAAATGCGTTCTAGATCTTCTGCAATTATAGCTTTAATTTCCTTGTCTACGTTTTCTTTAGACATTTTCCCATCAAGTTCTTGTGGCATATTGGATAGGATCTTGAACCTGAGAGCCAGATAGGTTTGTATATTTTGTAGCATTGTAGGTTTTTGGGATTTTTCTGTTTCACTGTTAGCAAAACTATGTTTTTGCTAATGTTCTGGTTGTTTATTTAATAATTTGGGGGGTATGGTTTTGTCTTTATTATTTGTTGATAGTTTCTTAACCAATATATACATGTGTACATAATAGAATATTGAATTTTGCATGACAATTTGTTTTTACATTATATTTTTCATTTGTCTTCTTTTTTACTGAATGAGGATTTATTCTGGACTGGAGATGCATTTTTTGTCATTTCTGTAGGCTGGAAACTGCTTTGAATACAGCAATTAAAAAGGCAATATACAAATTTAAAATAAATATAAAACCCAGTTTCTGACCAACTATAATTCTCAGTATATGATCCTGGACCAATCACATTCTAAACTGAATTAAGTTCACAGGCTTCTGGGAGAATAAGATAGGATGATAAAGCCCTTGAAAGAAATACAAGAGAAACTGACTTACCAGCCTTTTCTTTGCTGATCATCTTCTTACTTGTGCTTTTGGTTGACTCAGAGACTTCACATCCCTCAGCACAAAGGCTTGGTGCTGATTCACTGGAATGGGGAACATCACTGGAAGACCTTTTATTACGACGGCAGGAGGTGGAGACTAATAATGCAGGAGAAGGCTCTGTGCCTACAGAAGAAGGATTAAGTTAGAAGTGTCATGGACAGATTCAGATGAAAGATCATTGTCTCATCTCATTTAGATCTCACTTCCCTCTGACTTCTACTTTTAAGCATATTCCTCTCTCTAGCCTACATTGTGGTGAAATATTCTCTGACCCACAAAAGATTAATGCTATAATAACTGTATTTGTCAGTTGTTAAGATACTACTTGAGTGCTTCTGCTGCATCAGACAAATACCAATCTCTCTCTTGAAACTGCTAAATCATCTCCCTTTGCCTCACAAGCCTTCTACTCTGCTAATATCCACATGAGACTTCCCCACCTGAGATGGGCAAAGTCCTTCCCACTCCATTGCACAGAATGTTAGATACACTTTTGCGTCCAAAGAATGGCCCTTAGAATCTTAGGTAGTTTTTCAGGTAATTTTTAAAGGATCCCAGCAAAAAAGTACAAAATAGAATTACCAGTAGATAGGCTAATGAGGGCTAGGAAAGCATGGTAGCTATAATTCTAGCATTAATCCATTCAAGCACACTTACACTGGATTTTGAAGTCTGGTGGCAACATGCGGATATTAGACACTGCAATGTGGCCAGTGTCTCCATCATCAAATTCTACTAACACTGACTCTGCATCCTCCTCCTCATCACTTGAAGACCCTGTGGGCAGAAACTGTGTTACCTTTCAGGCCAGCTTCACTGTAACTGTGGAAGAAGCTCTGGCCCACTGATTTGGTTGTCTACAGTATACTTGATTCTTCCCCATTATGAGATCACTATTTACCAGTTTGCTCACCTCGAATGACATTGCCTGGGTAGAGGCAGCGAGACTTCTGGCTCCAATAAGCGCAGACCCGGGTGCCAGGTGGGAGGCTGCGACTTGACTGTGGCTGCACATCTAGAACCTGGAAAAAAACCAAGGGCATGGTTAGCATATACAGTAGGTCACCATGTTCGTAGCTAGACACTGAAGAGATTGTCAAGTACCAACTTTAGTGTATTTTAGGTCATTGTGCAATTATGGTTACAATTAAGCTTGAGCAAAACCAAGAAGAATTGCAGACTGCAGTGGTTTTGTTCCTTCCTTTGGCATCTGCCCTTCTCTCATGATTACCAAACAACTACTTTCACTTTTGCCTTTTGCCTAGACATCATTGAATGTATCCTATTTTCTAACAAGAAGGTTTCTTGCTCCCCAAACTGTATGTTCTCCAGATATTTTGTTGGAATAAACATTTATTAAGAGTATCTGCAACCAAATTCATTGTCTTGCTTTGTATGTTTTATTTTGTGCAATGGGTTGATGTGCTCTGTGCAAGAACTTCTTGGCATTTGACTACATCTGACTGTAAGACTGCCTCCTCTGCCAAAGGCTACATCTGGGAAATGGGAGCCCTGCATCTCTCTGTATACTTAATGTGCAGTATGATCCACAAGTGAACACACAGAAGTGTGTATGAATATCCTGTTCCCCAAAACACTCTGGCACTGAAAGCAAGAAACTGGATGTGACTACAAATCACACAGGCTCCATGATTGCTCTCACCAGCTGTGAGGCTGCTGGAGAATCAGTTCTGAAAGACAGGTCAATTAGAGCAACTTGATCCACATAAATGTACATCATATTGTATTCTTCTCAGAATGTGTTTTTTTCCCCCCAAACTACCTAATCTCTACTATCCAGAAGGCATGATCCTTCCAAGTTCTCTCATTACAGATAGTCCTTGCTTAACAACCATTCATGCAGAGACCCTTCAAAGTTACGATGGTGCTGAATGAATGGTAGTCACGACTGGTCCTCAAAGTTACAGCCATTGCAGTGCCCCCATAGTCACGTGATCAAAATTTGGGTGCTTGGCAGCCCGCCTGCATTTACAACTGTGGTGTGTGCTTCAACTCTCCCTACCCACTAATTTCCCCCCCATCTCTGCCCTTTTGGCCGCCCTGCACTCTGCCCCCTATCCCGCCATCCCTTGCTGCCTCCAGCTGACCCTCGCTGTCTTCTTCCTCCCACTGCTGAGGTGCACCCAGCCAAGACAGCTGCTGACCCTTCACAATGCCTCTTAGAGACCTTCATGATGCCTCCAGAGGCATCATGAAGGGCCAGCAGCAGCCTCAACCACAGCCAGCTGGGGGTGGCAGGGGTAGGCAGCAGCAGTGGAGTGCACAGCAGCCAAAAGGGCAGAGATGGGGGAGAGACAGGCAGGTGGGGGGAGTTGAAGCAGAGGCGAGCATGGCAGGGCAGTGGAGCCTCGTCTGCCGAAGGGAGCTTGCTGGGCCCAGCCAGGAAGGCGGCAGCAGGATGGAGCTGGCAGTTTGCGCAGGGCAGGAGAAGCACGAGATCCTTGCCTAACAACCGCAACCAGGACTACCGTCACTAAGCAGTATGGTCACATGATGTTTCACCTAATGACCACTTTGCTTAGCGATGGAAATTCTGGTCCCAATTAGGGTCGTTAAGCGAAGACTACTTATAAAAACAAAGTAACCTTATGCCCAATATCTTGTGTAGCTAATCCCTGCACATTTGCAAAGGAAAGCCACACTCAGTAGGTATTACTCCCAGCAGAACTGAGAGTCCAGCTTCTCTCCCCCTGCCCACCCCACTGCCAGCCTGATTAATCACAGGCTATGATCTACTGAGACTTACCGCCTCCTGCAACAGCTGCTCTTGGGAATAGATTCTCTGTCTATTCCCTCGCTCTCCCTCAATGACAATGCTGTAGCTGTGGAACAAATAAGTGACAAGCATTTACACAGATGATGACCTGAAGGGATAGAAGAGAACCTAGCTTGGTTAATTTTGATAGATGTTTAACAAGATGTTCAGTTCTTGATTGGCAGGAGCTAGGCTGTTGTTCTTCCCTTTTCAGCCAGCACAGTACAATAAAAGTGCATAGTGCTGACTATTTCATTCCCAGATCAGTAAGAGTGTTAGTATATAAGTGTTCAAACTTTAGGAAGAAAGAAATGTTACACCACTGTATTCTCCAGATGTGCTGAATTGTAACTCCCACTTACCGAGCCACTGACTGAGAGCACTAAATAGTGCTAGTACACAATTTCATATATATTTACTCATGCTCTTTGCCCTGAGTCTCACTGAATTTAGTAGGATTTACTTACAGGAAACCCCCCAGAGAATTACATTGGAATATTTTTCATGGATCATACTTTAGAACCAGCAAAATGCTTTGACTTCCATGCATACTACAGTTTCCTTTTTGTGATGAAAGGCAATAGCTTGCCCAAGATCATAAAAGAAACTCATACAGAAGAGGAATCGGAATGCAAGTCTTTCCAGACTCAGTCCTTGGAACCAGATGGACTCTTGAACAAATCTATATCATAAACTCATACAGAAGAGGAATCGGAATGCAAGTCTTTCCAGACTCAGTCCTTGGAACCAGATGGACTCTTGAACAAATCTATTTTTTGTTCTGATTAGTGGAAAGGGGAGGAAGAAGGCCCAAGATCTGCACTGTAGAGTTGGGAGAGGATAGGGCAGAGATCACCAATTAACTCTATTTGCAGATGAGGAACATGAATGATGAATACTGCAGTAGGTGCCTTTGGGTTTATTACTTTAAGGAAAAAGTACCTGGGTTTCTTGTAATCAGTTACTGTAACTGTCTATAAGCATTATATAGAAATGGGATAATAAGGGATAGATGAGAAAGTCCTGGAATGTAGAAAATGTCCACAATTCTAAATAATGGATTCATTATACAGTATCAACAGCAGTGGAGCCCCTTGATATTGAAAAATCTCTCTATAGTATCCTTTGTCCATGTTTATGGTTAGGTCCTTACATGTCAGGTGGCTGCAGACTCTTTACACTGCCAGCATAGAGCAGACTGTCCTCTTTGGGGATGAGCACACGCAGTCCATCCTGGAGATCTTCTTTGAGGATGGTGCATGACTGGGCTGCAAGCATAAGACAAAGCATGAATCTACAGTTAATTCTCTTCCTCATTTGTTTGTATTTGCAAACTTCATGGAGAGATCAGAGCTTGAAGAATTCAAGCCTGAAATAGGGACTATACTGCACCTTCCAGATTTGATCTGCACAACCACTCCAATCTTCTGAGCTACTCTTATCTTGCCAAGGATGCACTTCAGAGTTCACTTGGGCAGCTGTACAATCCCACTATATTTCACCTCTAATACTTCTTCTCATCATTATCCTTGTGTATTTTTGTTCTTAACTCCTGCTATGCTTGACTGCTATGGCTAGTGGTAGTTCTTTCACCTGGAATTCGCTAGGCCTTGTCAATTGCTCCACCAAAGGATAAACTTTGGTCCTGGTGTGTGCTGAGACTTACCAGAGGTCATATCTTGCTCTGTGCCAGTGGGTGGCATCTCTTCCTCTTCAGAGAAACTGCTATTATCATCAAACTCAAAATGATCCTCGATGGCAAAACTCTCCATCAGCCGACTGACTGCCCGGCCTTTGCACTGCGAAGCAAAGCAAAATGTATTTTCTTGCTTTACAAAGGCATGCCTCTTACGCACAAGACAAATGTTAAACTGGCTAGGACAGGAATGGATTATACAAGAGTATCCCACTGCCTCAACTCATTCTTAGTTCACAGCATCACTCTGGCCTTTGACTGAGGGGCTTGGCTTGGAATAAAAGGAGGAGGATGCCATGCCAATGACATTTCCATGTAGAATCTATAGGACCCCAAAATATAATTGTTTTTTAAAAATTAATAGCCCACTTGTAGAAGTTTTCAGATAAGAGGACTGAAATCTCATGAGATTTCAGGGATGAAATTGCTAAAATTTCACAGAGTATGTTGATACTGCATTTCAATTATTTTTTTTAAAAAAATGTTTTTCGCCAGTGCCAATGCACAACGATGCCTGAAAAATATCCTGAGCCCTGAGGAAGAGAGATCACCTGCTTGCCTCCTTTATTCTGGATAATAAAGGTCAGCTGTTTCTGACCTATCCAAGACCTGCACTATAGCAGTTATTTATAATTTCCTACCTGCTTGCTGACCACCTTGTTCTTAACCTTAGACAGCTTCTTGCCCTTGCTGAGGATGGCCTTGGCATTGCGAGGAGAGAGGGTCAGTGCACCATTCTTTCTCTGCCCAAAGTAAATAAGGATAAAATAAGCAAATACAAAATGCTCTGGACAAATATTTACTATACTACAATGTACCTAAACTGACATTTACAGCTGGAAGAAACACCCCTCTCCTCTTTCTTAGTGGCACTTATGATATCAATTACGTTTCGCCAAAACTGTTTTGTGGAGGAAGGCCTGCTGTTACCCACCACATCCCTTCTTGACTCCCAAAGCAGATAATCCCAATCCTCCTTCCCTGAGGACCATATCCAGCCCCTCTCTCTGCCCCAGCTTACTCTGAGAGCTGATTGCAGTACTTTGCTCTTGCGTGTGGCTTTCTTGAGGCGTTCACTGCTGAGCTTTCCTGCCTCATCACGGTTCGCAAAGGAGCGGGCCTGGCTGCTGGGGAAGAGCCCCTCATTGGTGGCTGATGTCCCAGGTCCGCAGTGAAACTCCTTGGCCTTGCTCTTTAGTTTCTTCTTGCTGGAACTCTCACAAGATCCTGCTCGGCATACCGGCACCTTTTCCAACCTCCCTAAACCTGGCTTCACTGGCCGCCGCTTTATTTTTACTTGGCCTTCAGGACTGGGGATTCGACAGGGCCCTGGTAGATCCAGAGGTTATAGCAATGAAAAAAATAGGCAAAGTAGAGCATGAAAATGCCTCAGTGGATAAAGCCAGTACTTTCTTTGCTTACACAGGCTGCCTTTTAGGCAAGTATAACATGAATAAGCTTATGCAAACCTATTTTGGGTAGACTCTTATCAATTAGCAATTTGTGAGCCTGCCCAAAGTCATCTTTTTTTAGAAAAAAAGAGTTGTGGCTCAGCATGTAATAGCAGAATCTGGCTCTTATAGATCCCAAATGCCCCTTTAGCTTAGAGGACAGATACTTGGAACAGTAGGTTCCAGGTAGATCTTTCCTTGTCACCTTACGTCCACCCTCAAGCACAAATCAAACAAAATTATATGATAATAGGTGGAAGGGCTAGATATCATCTCAGCCATTTCTTCACAAGGTTCATGAGGCTTCATTCCCTTCCCTTCCTCAATTTGGATAAATTCAGCAATTCACCAAAAGAGCTTTATTTCTTTTCATTCCATTACCTAGCAAACCCTGCCTCTCCTTTTTCTTCTTTGCCTTCTGATTTGCCTCCATTTTCACCACGGAGGAAGGAGAAGGGCCAATTACAGCAGGATTCACTGTTACATGCATGGGGGAGCTGTTGTCACTCATCAAGTCATCACCACCACCACCACCATCGTCACTTTCATAGTCTCTGTGGTGATTGTCATCTGTAAATGAAAAGAAGAGTCAAGACAAATTCACAGCTAGGGGAAATGAGGACCCACTTCAAGATTAGGAGAGGATTCTGGTACTCTGCTTCATCGTTCCAATGTTATAGTGCACGTATTTCTGCCATTGAAGTAAAACCAAGGCCATCACTGCATTGTTCCTAAGGTCAATATCTTAACATGGAGCTATCAAGAGAATGAAGCATGCAATTGAGGTTTTTTTTAATTAATCTTTGCTGGTAGTGTATCAATTCACCAGTTAGGATTCACTGGCTTTGGGTATTGCTGCAAGGCCTGATGTATGAGGATTTGGTAAAGCTGGATTGGTATGATGTGTAAGAATAGCAGAGGAAAGATTACTGAAAAATCCAACCAACAAACCAAGAACTCTGAATATGTTTTGGCTGAGTTACTCTCTCCCTCTACGTCAACCCCACAGTTGAACTGGCTATACACCCCCCTTCCAATCGTGGCTTCTATATCCTGATTCTTGCCCCTTTGACAATGAGTCTTTGTTCTTTTGGCTTTGGGGAGTGGAAGCAGGATTTCTGTCTCAGCATTGCCTTCCTGATAAGATGCCCCAGGAGCTTCAGGGGAAGCCATAAGCCTGCAGTCAAACAAGAGCGGACATTGGCCCCAGTAGAGGACATCATGTGCAGCTATTTTTAAATTCCAGAGCTTCCTCTGCTTGCCAGCAGGAAATATGCTATGTGGCAAGCTCCTCACCAGAGCTGAAGATAAGAGCTTTGCAGAAGGGTGGATTCGCCTGGGAATGGGCCTGGGAGAAGCTAATTGTACTAGCACTTCCTCAGTGGCATGGTGGAGAGATGAATACCTGGGAGGCATGTTACTGGCTGGGAGCTCAGAAAATATCCACTGGACACTAATCCCCTTTCTGCTATGCAGGTAAACATCAGTTGTCCCAGGGCCCGAGTGCTCTTTTAGCAGCAATACACAGAACACGCTCACAACTGCAGTGTTACGAATAGCGTCTCTTGTTTCCCATTATCATCTTTCCTTCTCAAGTGCCAACCCTTCCCTTCAGTCTGAATCTGTACCTGCATCAGCATTCCCTGTACTAGGCTTGGCCTCCAAGGGAGTGAGATCCTGCTGTGGGTATTTGGGAGAGGTTGCTTTGGAGCTTTTGGTTCGAGAAAGCTTCTTCTGGATACGGGTGCAAGGGATAGGCTCTTTCCGACGGAAGGGGCCAATGCTTGTGGGCAAGACTTTGTTTTTGACCTTCTGCTTGAGATGGGAGGCCTTGTGCACTACTGTGGAAGCCAACTTGTTTTGTGAACCACTCTTCTTGCAACGAACCTTCTCCTGCAAAAAAAGCAAAAATGTTACCACTGGTAGAAAAGGTACAGTATTCTTACTGTCTGGCATCTCCCTCTTGCTCAAGGAGGGAAATATACGTTAGAATCAGGAAGTTGGAAGAGACTGAAAAATCTTACCTGACTCTTTCACCGACAGGGAGGACACTGGATTCCCTATAACTAAATCTTGTCTAATGCTGTCTCCAAGGAAGGAGATTCTGAACCTTTTATCAACTGCTCTGTTGGCAAGAAAATTTTACCCTTGTGATCTTATCTGCATACACCTAGTTTCTATTCTGTACACTAACAAATACTTGTAACCATTTTTCTTTTAAGGCAATAAATACTTGAAGACAGTGACCAATGATCTCTGAGCCTCCTGAGAAACTTAAGATCAAGTATTATTTTTATACTTGTTTATTTAACAGTTGGACCCCACAAATTCTGTAGCGAGGTAAATAAGTATAACTCATCTTACTAAACAGTGGGGGAGAGGTGTGCCATTAAATGTGCAATAAAATGTAAGATGTAAAAGTTATGAATATTCATCTCACATCTGCTAAAAGAGCATCTGCCTATCCAGCTTGGTTCATTTTAGGAGCCTAAATCCTCATAGCTAATGTGAATATGACCATCTGATTGGTTTTAAAACCAGGGAGAGAACATGGCTGACTTGGTTTTCCAAAGATAGCAAGCTATTACTTATCCAAATGCAATGTAGACAGAAAGATAAAGTTATTAAGGTATATTCACCTGGGAACTTTTGATGCCACTGTAAGTTGTTTCTGATATTTTCCGTTTTTTCTTCTTGGGCTCCCCCTCGGCCCTCAACTCTGTACACAGTAGGGATAAGCTGTTTTTTACAGACCTGTGAATGGAAAAGAATGCACAAGTTGGAGAAAGCCCCATGGATGGATATCCAGTTCATTTCTGTGCAGGAGAGGAAACTTGTGCAGATGAGGTATACAGTTAGAGGAACATACAGGCACAGGATCTAAGCATTCTTGATAGAAACAGCCCCCAATAAATATACTGCATACCTCTAAAAAGACCTGATCTCTTTTAGTTCCATTTGTTTAAACGTCTATATTTCAGGCTGCTAGATCTCTATTTACAGCCATCCATGGGCAATCTGATAACTATGTGATGGGTATACATTAGATATTTACTCACACATATTCTGGGCCTATAAATAAGCAGAACTGGCTCCCACTGTTGTGGGGATCAATATCCATTATTATTATTATTATTATTATTATTATGGTGATCTTTTACTTCCAACTAGATATACTTTCTCCTTGTCTATGGATAAGGAACTTCTAGATTGATCATTCTTGAGATACCACATCACATAAAGAAACACTAACCTCCCTGTCTGTCAACATACAATAATATGTTACAATGAAGAACAATAAAGCAGATCCATACTTCAAAATTCAAATCCCAAAAAGTTGGGATAGTATATTTTCATCATAACAGTAGTCATAAACATTTCCCACATGCTATAAATCATGATTTTGTTAACTAATGCATTCTGTCTTTCTACTCTGATGAACTTTACAAATTGCCCAAATAGCCCTTCTTCAGAAATAAATAAGTATACCAGTTTAAATGCCCTTCTTTCCATTTTCAGAGTTAGGCCTTGGAAAATGCTGTCATGCTTAGGAGTCAAGCATTCTTGCTTTTCTTCATTCACTGCCTTAACTCACAGTGAGAAGTGTTGTAAGATCTGAATGAAGAAAGGAGGAGTTGAACATGACAGCACTTTTCCAGGCCTAACTGTAAAAATGGAGAAAGTAGCAATTGAACTTGTGCATTAATTTATTTCTGAAGTACAGGTATTTGAAACAAATTGGAAACCTGGATAGTTTCTAAAAGTTCAGCATAGAAGGATGATATATTTTATTTTAGAAGATAACGAAACAATTAATAATAGGAAGGAAGGAAGTTATGTTTATTGTTAGTGCGAAAACATACCACTCCATCTTGTTTAAGAATTGGATATTGAATCTGCTTTACTATTCTTCATTGTAAAGTATAATTGTATAGTCACAAATACCATTTTGTCACTTTGTATGCTTGTGAATTTTTTGTTGTGAAACTACAGGGTCTAAAAGCTCAAGCAGTATGTTCCCTCTATACTGGAGATAGGACTGGGCGTACACTAAATACTGCTTTGGCTGGCTCCAGACATTCTCACAAGATTTGGAATCAAAGTATACTGTCACAGAAAAATGAAAAATATTTCCATAAATATTACCAAGTATGAGCTATAATTTTGCTTAATTTTTCCCTCCTCCTGGTAACTGAGATGCAGATGGGCCCAAGGGCTCCTGGATCTCCTATACTTGGTAAACTTCTCCTTTCTCCCTTTATATCTGACCCCTGCACAGACATCATTTTGGAGAAAGTTTACCATGGGTGGGCACCCTACAATCAGTTTTCCAGTCATGACATTCTCTGGGCAGACTGTTATGACTGTATGAGGAAATGTGCTACTTAGTCACTTTTGTAGGGTAGTAATGGCCTGTCTACCCATCTAGGCCTGCTTATCTCCCACTTACTTTCTGGATGCATCCTCTAGCTGCTCCTCACTTATCCTTCATTCTTTTATATACACCACAGTCCACATATTTTTGGTCAGGGGGACACATTTGGCTTTAACAAGTTTACATAAAGAACCCTGTTTATGTTAAAATGTGTCTACCTTGCACAATGCACTGTAAGATGAAACTTGGAAGTTGCCTGATAAGAGTCAGCCCGAGAAGTTACTGCCTGAGGCAAAAGATAACAGACACATCCCAACTTCACAGACTGACTGGACTGGTATATACTGGAATGATATTTTCCATCACACCTGAGGTTCCAGGTCAATTTGAAAGTTCAGGACAGGTGATAAGGCATATTCTGCTCCATTCCCCACCAAGGGGAAGCTCCAGAGAGCTGAGGGGAAGTGGCTGGGAGGCTTGCCACTGCTGGCTCACCAATATCTGCAGCCTGTGGTAGTTGCTTAACTCTGCCTAATAGTAGGGCAAACTCGAGCCTTGATCCTCAGGAACTGGGAGTTTATTTTTTGGAAACAATGTGAACATGGTCTACTGCAATGGTAATCCCTTAAGGTTGTAGTACAGTATATGAAGGGAATGGGCTGGGCAGGTGTAACTTTTTACAGCTTGGTGCCTTTCCCTTGATGCCACTGCCTTAAGGCTTGGTATTCACAGAGATTCTTATTTCTTCTGACTTTCAAACACAGAACTCGACCCCTCTTCCTCCCATCTCTCAGGAGCAAGAGGGCACAGCAGGAATGCACTGCCAAAACATCTGGTTCTATTGAATTTTACTGCTTCCTCAGGAAGCAGCTTGGATGAAGATGGAATTGTGATAGCTGTGGAAAAAAAAGGAGAACAAATTTCTCCCCACACATATAAGAATAGTCAGAATTACTAAACAAGTGTGCACAGACATACATTTACTCTTTGCTTGATCAAGATCCCACATGAGGCAGCTCACCCATTTTTGCAGAAAACTGTCCCTAAAAATTAAACTGCAATTTTTGAAAACATAAAAAGTGAAGAATTATATGGTGCAGTATCCCAACTCTTTCTAAAGAACAAATAGATTTCCAGGATTTTCTGTGGCACACAGAGACTCAAAATAAACTGGATCTCTTGAAACACTGCCCTGTAATGGTAGATCCTTACCAGAATGAATGTTCCCACTTGGCAAATTATACTATTTTTAGAGAAGGAATCTGAAGCAAGCCCTCTCTTATAGATCGCCTACTGTATAGAGAGGCTCACATGGAGAAGATGTTTCTAGGGGGATAGCCACATAGTGATGAACTCTCTTGCTTAGAAGAGGCTAAACAGATCACAGAGCATTGAGCAAACACTCCTTTACATATTTCTCTGTGGGGGAGGAGGAGAATATGGCATAATGCTGTATCCCTCCCACATGTCCTGTGGCTGCTCTAAGAAAGGGAGGAGACATTCCTAGACTTCTCATGCCTTCCAGCAACTTTTTGGCTGCTGCTTTTGCTGCAGCTCATTACTTCACTAGCTATGGTGGGGGTTTTGGGACAATCACCCCTTTCAGCTGGGCTTGTCACATTTTACATGCAAGGAGACTGCCAGGGGAACGACAGGGTAGTGCCTATTCAGGCAGCTCAACTTACAACCCCAGAAGTATTGCCCTGTTTGGGGCAAGATGCATTTCCGCTGATGTGGTTGGAGAGGTGCAGGTTTTAGGTACAGACACCAGTGGTTATTTGTGTTGGAGGAACCAAGAATGTAGGAGAAACATCAGAGTGTGTGTGTTGCTTTATACATGCAGTGGTAAGGTCTGGGATTTTGGATGTAAAATTTCCCATAGTTCCACAGTGCTGAAACCCATTATTTGATAAATAAGTAAATGATACTCACTGTGCTATTTACTTCCTTCTCTTTTCTGGATACTAACCATTTTTTTCTACTAAGAAAGGGAAAATGTGGTGGGGGAAAATTGTAGAGAATTCTGGAAAAATAAGGGGCAGAGGATAGGTTGTTAAAGGGAAGGACAGGGATACGCAGTTATGGCAAAGGACTGCAAGAGGTAGTAAGTTATCTCATCTTGACCAAGCCACATCTCTTTTCTTAAGTTTATAATGAAACTCCTTGCAGATTATCACATGTGATATGAGTAGGAAGTCAGGGATCACCATAGTTTCTCAGCATATATATTCCAGGCCTATGTATATCGGCATATAGGATAGCTTGAGTCTGGCCTGGCACACTGTGCATTAATGAAATGAAAAACTCTGTACCACAGAATCCAAAGCTAGTGACCTATATACAGTAAGTCATGCAAATTGATCATGTTTTGTGTGATCTTATTTTGTATAATTTATTCAAGAATAGTTGTTATTTTACATAGTTTTTCTGTTTTTGCTGTTCATGGGGAAGAATGCAGAGCAATATAGCATCATGAAATCCAGTTCCTACAATCACTGCAAATCTTGCTTCTAGGATATGCATTACTCATAGAGTTTGAAGTCTATCTTTGCAACCTAAGTGCCAGAAAGTTGTTTTTTTAAAAACAAAAATATGAGCATAGGAAAACTAAAGGTCTGAAACATAAGATTTTGCCCTTTTGCACTCTTATTGAATCCTAGCATACCCGAAGTCCTTTTCTAATGGTAGTTGCCTCATAGGCCCCTCATACACTATAGGGTTCACAAAATCTATAGAAGGTAAGATCCAACATTCCCGTTACTAGTACATTGCCTATGATTCCACTTCCAAACTCTTCCTGTTTCTTCAGGGTCATTGTGTAGCCAGATCAGACTGGCTTAGTGGAAAGGATGGGAGTAGGATTAATCCCATCTGGTGTATTGAAAGACAAATGAAGGGATATGTGGCTTGATATTGAGAGAAAGAAAAAAACAACAACCTGGCAACAACAGTCAATTGTACTAAGTTGCAATCAGCCCAGATAAGGAAGGGGAAGTAGAGAGAGGTAGTTACTCCCAATGACAACAATTACAAGGAATTAATTTTGGACTTATATGGGGTGACTCACCTTTTGACACCTTCTAAAATATTGACTTCACATTGCTTTGGCACTGCTCTTATAGGTGTCCTCCTGGCATAGTAAATAGGAAGTGAATTAGCACTCTGAAAGCTTTCTCCACCCCCCATGGCTGGCTGGTTGCCCATTCTGACCTCCTATGCTCCCCAATCCTAATTGCTCCACTCTAGCACCCAGGTTCCTAAGAAGGGCCTCTTGTTTGCTCCACCCTGGGAATGCAGCCCAGGATTTGAAGCTGCACAAACCCCATCTTCCCAAGGCAGCCTCTATTCACACTCCTCTCTTGGGCCTTGCCCCTGTACCCTCAACCTTTTGGCCCAGTCTTGACCCTAGAGCTGGTGCCAAATTCCAATTTGGCAGCTGTAGCAGGAAAGGAAGGAGGGAATTCCCTGGTTAAGCAGAGGGAAAGGGAGGGAGCGGAGCACCCCAAGGGCCATAGATGGGAAAGAGAAATGGGCTGGCTTAGGAACAGCAAGCGACTCCAGGCTACCCATAATGCCAAGTCCCCAGCTTTTGCACCTCAGCATACTCTGAAATAGGGAATTACCATGGCTCAAGGCCACAGCTCTGTTCCGGGGAGTGGCTGGAGGGAGGCAAGCTTGGCAGATATCTCAGCCTAGCGTGGGAAGTTCAAGAAACAGGAATGTTCCCGATAGGAAGGAGGCCAAGGGACCGGGCTTGCAGCTGCTCTGGAAACACGTGTTGGTTCAGTGAGGCCAAAAGCCTCCACCTGACACACAGGGAAGGGATGCCATGATGGCTAGGAGCCCTGACTTGGCACCTGACCAAGGAATCCTTTGCCATGGCTGTTTGCTCGGGCAGGTTTACAGGGCAGACATACAAATGTGCAAATGTAAAGGAGCAGAGCAGGAAGTAGAGAGCATTACCATTCAGGTGAAGATTTAAGTCTGAAAGCAGTATATGTATGCCAATTGTTCTCTGGGAGCTATATGATTAAGGGACTCTTCTGTGATAGTTTGATCTCTGACAAAGGGTCAGCTTGACAAGTGCTCACATGTGAGCATTCAGAGAAACGGCTGTATGAATGTGCACTTGCTTTATTGCCTTTTGGAACGACATCTTTCACATTGAACCTATTTTGGCACATCAAAAAAAGCATCAAATGCTAAAGCTCAGAGACTTTTGAAAAGAACAGAGCAGGTGATACCTCAGACAGGCATAATTTCACTTGTGATTAATTAATGCAAAATAATCCATAACTACAAAGCTTAGAAAGTTGGAGTGGAGGGGAAATTAAAAATAACATGTAAATCCTTCTAGAAACTATGGCCAACTAGGACCAAGTACAGAAAATAATAACTTGTCAGAAGCCTTCAGTTGGTGGAGCAGCTATTGACCATATTACAGAGTATGATTTTTCTCTCTTTTCTGCTATGGTCCTTGACCAATCACATTTTTAGCATATTTTTAAACTTTGCAAAAAATCTGACCAGAGACCACAGCAGGGTACAACATGTAATCCAATGCCTGTCAGATGAATTGGACTACACTTCCCAGCCAGTTTGTCTAACTTTAAGACTCATCGGCACAACCCTTTTTCCCAGGTGCAAAGACACCTTGCTAACTGTTGGTGGAGGATATGCCTTTGTCCTCAACCCATCCCCAGCCCACCACAAAGGCAGCTTCTGCTCCTCTTTCTGTGCTCCACTTCCAAAGTCACATTTTTCACTTCTGCCAGTGCAAGTCATGCCAAGTGGTCAGCCTGCTGTGAATTGTCAGGACTCTTCCTACTGTCAAAAAGCCATCTCTCCACTTCCCTTGCCAGCTCATGGATGGCAAGCAAAGCAGGAAGAGGAGGGAAAGCAGGGTTTTTTTGGGTGCAAATTCTCCTGGCATGAAAAAGATTCACTTATCCTCACACAAGAGAGAAGAGGAGGAAGTGAGTCGTCTATTATCAGTTCTCCGATCTTTGTGGGATTAGGGAGCCACAGCAAAGAAACTATTCCCGCATCTTTACACCTGCTCCCATTGTCCTGCCTCCCGGTGCCAAAAAGACCTGCTCTCACAGTGGAAAGTCTGCTTTACCCCAGTGATATCCTCTGCAGAATCACTTCCTCCTGTGGCACAGCTGCCTGCCCTGCCCTGCCCTCCCCCATGGCTTAGGTGCTGCTGTCCCTAAGCTGTGGGGAGTTGTGTTTTATGTCCAGC